AGAAATGTTCTGTGACATCACAGTGACGTCAAACTGACGTCATGTGACGTCATAGGTGAAATTTGCTCCAAATAATGTCCCAGAAAATAAAACAAACCAGTTTCTGAGAGAATGTATAAATAAATGATCAATATTATAAATACTTTATACAATCACGTAATGACATACATGACATACTGTAGTGTCGGAGAAAGACATGCACTCTGAGAGAGCCAATGTGATACTGGCAATTCAGTACACCACAATGTTCTATTGAAGCCATTTTTGACGAATTAGCTCAGACCACTTGCTTATAGTAGTAGGCTACTTTCAGACTAATGTTTTCACGATCTCATAAAGAATGAGCTCGTCAGTTCATGTGATTTTGATGGAATATAATGTAATCAGGAGTGAATAATAATATTATTATCTATTATTATTCACTCCTGATATAATGTGGTGTATTGTAGTGTAATTTAATGTAATGTATACGTACAATGATGTAACCCAACAGAAAGGCTTTCCTGTTGTGTTACACTATTGTATCTATATAGTGCATTGTATTTGTACTGTAGTGCAGTGCAGTGTAATGTAATGCAATGAAATGTAATGTAATGTAATGTAATGTAATGCTATTGTAATGTAATGTAATGTTAGGATAACTAACAGCACCAGCAGACTTCCTCTTGCGTTAGGCACACATAGATATGAGAAGAACGGAGCGTACAACCCCCCCCCCCCCTATAATCCATACAGACCACGCTACATCTCGTTGTTTTCCGTCCCTATGCCTGGCGTTATTATTGTACGTCCCCTCTCGAGTTCAAAACACGATCAAAGTTGAAGTCGTGCCTGTCAAGTGCTTGCCACGACGCACGCAACCGTGTAGTCTCTCCTCTCGTGTGACTGCACCCGCATGCACGCCCGCGCGCACGCACGCACGCACGCCCGCACGCGCAGGTTACCGCGTCACGAAATCACGCAGTCTCATCAATCACATGCGGCTGCTGCAGCAGCAGCAGAAGCAGATGCAGTAGTAGTAGTAGCAGCAGCAGCAGCAGAAACAGATGCAGCAGTAGCAGGAGAAGCAGAAGCTGCAGCAGCAGCAGTAGCAGTAGCAGTAGCAGCAGACACAGCAGCAACAGCAGCAGTAGCAGAAGAAGCAGAAGCAGCAGCAGCAGCAGCAGCAGTAGAAGCAGTAGCAGAAGCAGCAGCAGCAGCAGAAGCAGCAGCAGCAGAAGCAGTAGCAGCAGAAGCAGTAGCAGAAGCAGCAGAAGCAGCAGAAGCAGCAGAAACAGAAGCAGCAGCAGCGCCGTTACGACTACTACAACCAGTAGCATATGCATCTTAACTATAATCATCTGCCACAGCAGTAGCATCATCATCATCATCATCATCATCATCATCAATATCAGCAGCTTCAGCATCAGCAGCAACAGCAGCAGCAGCCCGACATCCGTGAGCTCATTCAAGAAAGCGATCATGCTCATCTAGCGTTGCCGTGGATACGGTCGCTGCTCCTCACACACATCGTTACTCTTCGCTCTCTCTCTGTAACCCTTCAGTCTCCTGGGCGACATAGGTCATTTGTGATCTCCCTCCATGTCGCTCGGTTGGTCGCCTTCCGCTCCATTTCCCTCCAGATGTAGCCCTTCTTCTTGAGTTCCGCCTCCGAGTCTCACCTCCAGGTTACTTTAGGCCTTCCTACCCGACGTCTTCCTTGCGGGTTCCAGCTCAGCGCATCGTTACTCTTGCAGGCGGTGAACTGACTCCGAGGACGCCCCGCGAGACATGAAGCCAACACGTATCATCATCGCCGCAGCCGCCCTGTTGGCGACGTGCGTCGCGGCAGCGCCCCCTGGCGGCTGCGAGCTGCCCGGGGATCTGCGCGGCATGTGGGAGAACAACACGGTGGCGATGTACACCCACTTCACGTTCACCAACACGACGTTCGGCCCCTACAAGGACGCCACCTACACCTGCCACGCCGACCTCGGCAACGACACGCTACTGATGCGCACGCCGGCCGGCAACGCCACCTACCGGTATGCGTGCTTCGAGTTCGTCTTCGTCACGTCGACGACGTACCTCCTGCGCTCGCTGACGACGCTCGCGGCGGCCGCCCGCCGGCTCCCCCTCGTCGTTGACGACGACGTGACGGCGTGCGACGCCGCCGCCGCCCCGTCGCCGGCCGACTACGTGATCCTCGTGCGCAAGGTCGCGCGCGACGACCAGCTCGTGTCCGTCGCGTGCCCACCGGCGCTGCGCGGCCAGTTCAGCTACGCGCTGCGGCGCGCGGGCAAGCGGCCGAGCTGCACGGCCGACTCCCTGCTGGACGTGTGCGCCGACCCGCGCACCATGTTCTTCGACTACAATCGCTGTCCAGAGAAGATCGGCCACTCCATCAACGGCGTGCTGAGCTGCATGGCCGCGTGGCGCGGCGACGACGACAACGGCAGCGGCTACGTGTTTGTGCGCAACGTGGACCCGCGCGGCGCCGACGATCGCTGGTCGCACATCAACTGCTTCAGCTACCGCGTCGACAACGCGACGCGCGGCGTGCGCGTGCAGCAGTCTCTCGCCTGCCAGCCGCCGCGCGGCACCAACGCGTCCGCCGCCGCCGCCGCCAAGCCGCCGCCGCTGCGGCTCGAGCTGACGCGACTGCGGGACTGCCCCGCGGGTGGTCCGCCGCGCACTCCGCGGGTCGCGCGTGTCCTGCTGGGGCTGGCTGCCCTGCTGGTCACGCTGATGTAGCCGTGGTAGACGCATCTACTACTGTTCATAGCTACGGTTCATTGGTCGCACACATACTGATGTTCATAGCTGGGGTTGTTTATTCTTTTCCGAACTACTGTTTCTCATATACAACATAGCTACTGTTCCTTGGTCACACACCTACTGTTGTTCACCCATGATGTAGATTGTGTGGTTCATCAATGCCTGAACTACTGTTGTCAAATATGACATGATGGCTATTGCTCATTGTTGACACACATCATATTGTTCATCAATGATATACCTACTATTGTTCATAAGTGCCTTAGCTACTATTGGTCACATATAACATAAGTGCCATCGTTCTGGTGACACGACTACTAGTGTTCGTTAGATACATAGTAACTGTTGTTCATTATTGACGTAGCTACTGCTGTTCATCAATGATATAATTTCTATTATTAACGTATGCAATGGCTACTATCGTTAGTATTGTTAATCAATGTTGTAGTATTGTTAACCAATGATGTAATATTGTCAATCAATGTTGTAGTATTGTTAACCAATGATGTAATATTGTCAATCAATGTTGTAGTATTGTTAACCAATGATGTAATATTGTCAATCAATGTTGTAGTATTGTTAACCAATGATGTAATATTGTCAATCAATGTTGTAGTATTGGTAATCAATGTTGTAGTATTGTTAACCAATGTTGTAGTATTGTTAACCAATGATATAGTATTGTTAATCAATGATATAATATTGTTAACCAATGATATAGTATTATTAATCAATGATATAATATTGTTAATCAATGTTGTAGTATTGGTAATCAATGTTGTAGTATTGTTAATCAATGATATAGTATTGTTAACCAATGATATAGTATTATTAATCAATGATATAATATTGTTAATCAATGTTGTAGTATTGTTAATCAATGATATAGTATTGTTCATCAATGATATAGTTACTGTGAAGAGTGGTATAGTAACATAGGATGCAGGTAGCTCAGTTGATTAAAAGAAAGTGAAATCGTAGTTGGATTTTTTGGCTAGACAACATATTCTATGCTATCGTTATATTAGTTATGAGTTATGTTGTATTATGCCGCCGATATAATATCCGGAATAGCTAACATGCATAGTTACTTAATCATTGTAATTACTTCTGAAATCGAAAAACCACAGTTGTAACTAGATTTATCATACCTAATAGTTGTCATGTAACAAGTATTTACACACGTTTATGCTTATATAACAACGTACTGCGTTACTTGAGTAAAACATATATTTACATTAATGTGCGCGTGTAACATGAATGAATGAACATGAATAATAATGAATAAAAAATATTGACTGTATACATAACATTTAAAAATGTGTTAGGGTGAAAGCTAATACACCTGGCAAATGTAACTATTTCCCCCTTTTCACACCTTGTGGCTATTATGTGTGGTTTATATTATGCACGCATGTGCTATAGTCACTATGCATTATAATTGTCAGCTCTGCAATTTGATGCGAGATTTTAAATCTTTCCTTATGTTCTTATAGTTTTAGCACATTATGTAGCATTATCTTATGAGTGTTCATTGTTGTTCCTTGTAGAGTGTGACAGAAACGTGGCTGATGTTTATGCAGGTAATATTCACCATTCACACACAGACAATTGACCACGGGATTCTCACCCTCTGAGTGTATGCGCCCAAACTAGTGTGACCATAATCTGTGCGTATGCATGCGTCAAAGGTAGCTAACCAGTAGTATGTATGCCACAGTGAGCTTGTATTCGACTGGCAGATTTAATGTACTCGTATTACACACTGAAACCCACCTACAGAACGATGGTTGTAATCTTACATGAACACCCTACAGTAGACAGCATCATCCACGAAATCATATTCAGAAGCTAATTAACACACAAGGCGATTTTGTCAGTTGCAAGTGCTGGATAACTGGAGACATAACCGGGCGCATATCTAATAGCACGAAACGATTATTGCACTCGGGCGCAAAAAAAGGTCACACTGCATATCACAAATGCACTCATGGCACAGGGGTATAGGTGACATTACAAAAGAGGGTACTGTATACGCCATATTTTTCGCGTCCAGATATTTTCACGACTGACTTGACAGACAATTTCGCGAGTGGTTAATTTCTCAGTCGGTGAATTCCCGAATCGGTGAAGAACAGTGTGTAGTTATTTTCGCGGTCAGGGACGCGTTTGCGAAATTCACGAAAATTAAACCACCACGAAATATACAGCGTATACAGTATTTAAGAGAATTAAAAACTTACCTTTCCACTGTACGGAACTTTGAGAATATTTTATTTCTCTTCGACTTCATCTTGCCATGAATTGACAGGACAGTTGAATTTTTTAAAAGGCTGAAAGAAATAAGAATGCTGGTAGAAGTCAATATGTTTACAACGTAAAAAAATAAGACGATAGAAAAGTGCTCAGCATTTTACCGGTATTAGTTTCTAGAAGGGCATGTTGACAGATGGCCAACTATTATAATATAGCATAGCAGCAGTCACAGTATTATGGAACAGCAATAGTACTGGCAAGTACAGCATGGAACACGAGAGATTACCACCAGCATATTATAGAGTTACATTAGCTCTTGAAGCACCATCTATAATCGACTACAGTATGATGCTAAATTATAAATGATGGAAAAATGCTGCTTACACTTCCAGAGCCCGGGAAAAGTAGTCGACGCAAGCACACGTGCTGAAGAATATCATGTGCTTGAGATGTGTGTGTTGTCTGAGAAACGCAACCAACGTGTTGAACTTCCTGTCAGCATCACAGATCTACGACAAAATCACCAGCACTCGTTTCACCGCACCTCTTGGGCCGTTTACATATGCCATGTCAACGTGAACATCTATATTGCTCTTAGACATACCCTTTCCATCACAGTGAAGTGTTTTACTCGATTCATCGACAAGGTGCCGATTGATGGAGCTGCTGCCATATGTACTGAAGACACTAACGTAATTTGCGAATACAGGCTGCAGGAGAGCCTTTAGAGAAATTACAGAAGCAGAGCGGATACTTTCTAAGCATGACGCTAGACGCGTGATCGAGCATCCGCACATTAAGCTGACGATACGCATCACACTGTCGACAAAAGTGCTCGTCCGGTCGCCACCGCTAGTGACGCTACCGCCGCCGGTGACGCTAATGCCGCCGGTGACGCTAATGCCGCCGGTGACGCTGCCACCGCCATTGACGCTAATGCCGCTGGTGACGCTGCCACCGCCATTGACGCTACCGCCGCTGGTGACGCTAATGCCGCTGGTGACGCTGCCGCCGCCGGTGACGCTGGCGCCGTTGGTGACACTGCCGCCGCCAGTGACGCTACCGCCGCTGGTGACGCCGCTGGTGACGCTACCGCCGTCGGTGACGCTGCCGCCGTCGGTGACGCTGCTGCCGCCGGTGACGTTGCCGCTGCCGCTTACCATGTAATAGTTGACGAGTGTCGTCGGTGTCGTCTGCACACTCTCACTCGACTCCTTCCGCTCCTTCACGATGACGAGCACGGGATTGCGCAGTCCAGCGCGAATCAACGCCGCTACTTCCTTGGTCTGCGTGGCCGAGAACAGGCCGGTGCGTCGCTGCTTGGGAAGGTAGCCCAGCAAAGCATTGATGCTAGCCGAAGAGAGAACGAGAACAATCGACCCTGGCGGGCGACGTCGACATAACATACGCCAATGAGAGAGAACGAGAGAGGGAGGAGAGAGAGAGAGAGAGAGAGAGAGAGAGAGAGAGAGAGAGAGAGAGAGAGAGAGAGTGAGAGAGAGAGAGA